GCTGGACAGGGCATCACTGGCGAGGTCGTGCGGCGCATCGCAGCCATCCGCGCTGCATGGCGACAGTGCGGGATCTTCTGGACCTCTAAGGTACCCCGACAAATAAAACGCATGATGTTCATGGCCTTCGTGGTAGGTGCGGCCCTTAGCGGATTGCCTGCGCTAGTTCTGACAGATGCCCACACAACAGCAATCGACAGCGTACTAGGCAAGTACCTACGGACGCTAGCGGGAGGAACAATGTCGTGGACCAGAACAGATGGGACAGTGAGGTGCAACAACTTGCGACAGGTGTTCAGATACTGGAGACTCGAGCGCACATCCGTATCTTTGCTTGTGCGACGCCTACGGTGGTACCAGAACTGGTCAAGGCACCCTTGGGAGCACGGAGCAGTCATAGCAGCGGTGTTCGGAACATCCAGACTAGACGCGGCTCAGGACATACGGCGACTAGAGGGGCAGGGATTCGTGGGGCCCACCTCCACCCCGTGGGCACAGCAGTTTGCAGCCGACATGCATGTGATAGCAACAGTGGACGAGAGCATGGGATGGTATGCAGACAGGGAATCCGACCTCGCTATATTCGAACAGGGGAGTACGGAACAAAAAAACTGGTTACAAACAGACCCATCAATATTGTACAGTTACGAGCGAAACTGGGATGTGCTCACGACACGAGATGCGACGATACAGGAGGAGGAGGGAAGGGAGGAGGATACACTAAAACCTTACTGGTGCGATCATACGACGAAGGGCGAAAACGACACGGAACAGAGGTGTGGCATGCGCTTTGCGACATACGCAGCACTAGCTGGGCATCGCCGAGAGACCCACAACATCCGACCAGTGGTGGCGTCCGTAATCGTCAACAACCAGTGTCCCTGGTGCAAGAGTACCTTTATTAATCGTAAGGTATGTGTCGACCACGCAGTCAGGGCCGTACACGGCCACGGTATCTGCCACCAAGACAGGTCTATGTGGTCCCACCCCATTTCCGACCCCAGCTCCCTTAGCTGCCAGATCTGTAACCACGAGGCTCAAACTCTTGAGGATTACCACGCACACATACGTGAGCACATAGCAGGGCCAGAGTCGATCAGAGCAGCACGGGGAGAAGGAACACATGTCGCACGGGGGCCACGGCGACTGGCGCATCAGGGCCAGCACGAAGAGAGGAGGAGGCGCAGCCGAAGGGCAGCGACCAGCACAGCGCCCACACCTAGGCGGTGGCGGAGTCGGCTCGTCAGACACGCAGCAGTCGCAGCAGACGCCGCAGCAGCCGCCCCCCACCCAGCGCCGAGGAGGAGGAGGTCGAGGACCCCCAGGAGGCGGCCGTGGTGGGGGAGGAGGCGGCCAGGTGGAGCTTCGGGACCAGCTGAGATCGCTCCAGAGGCTCACCCTCCAGAACTCGAACGAGATTCGCAATTTTCTGCATCTCACGGGAGAGTTCTGGCTGACGCCGCTCGAGCCAGAATGGGTGCAGGCGCCGATGGAGACAGGCAGGGAGTACGGGCGGAAAGTAAAGCAGCTGGGCAAGGGGCACGGCCTCGGCCCACCGCATGGACAGGTGGCGGCGAGCTTAGTCGAGGAGATCGTGGCGGTGCTCGATTCGGAGGAGCAGAAGCTCGACGCGTCCCTCCTCCACGTGAGACAGCTCCTGAAGGAGTTCATGAGCCAGCTCGACGAGCCCTGGGGACCAATCTTCATCACGGAGGTCTTCTTGCAGTGCAAGATCCAGGAGGCATACAACAAGACGGGCGAGGACGTGGAGATGGACATCAAACAGTGCAAGGCCAAGCTCATCTACACGATCAACACAGCGCCGAGCTTCAGGGCCGTGCTGTACGACCAGAAGCTGGAGCAGGAGCAGTACGACAAGATCGCGGGCTTCAAAGGGGACATATTCAAGCAGGCCCTGGGCCACGCGTTGGCGCACCTCGGGGCCACGAAGAGCCGCTCAGGAGGCCCGAAGACGGGCCTGGAGAGGGCGGTGGAGGCGCAGCTCAACAGGAGGTGAGCCAAGGCACACCCCAGCCAATGCCCAGCAGCTCGCCCCGCCGCGAGCGAGAGAGCCCCGCGGGCCAGCTACCGCCAGGCCCGCAGCCCAGCGGAGCCAGCAGCTCGTTGTCGAGCAGCACCGTCGAGCCACGCCTCAACTCCATGGGGCGCCCTCGTGCCTGGCCACCATCATCACCGCCAGTGAGCCGAGAGGAAAAAAATGCACAGCAGATTAGTGCAGACCTTGTTCGTATGACGAGTCTCAGAAGCCAGGCCGAACAACACGGAGGCCAGATGGCATACCTATATCGGATGGCTACGTACTATCGGGACCTACGACCAAGGGACTATTACCAGCCTATGGCAAAAAAATGAGGGGGACGGCGGACTTTCTAATTATGCAGCCGTCACCCTACAATTACACGGGCTCCCACTACCTACGCCCCCCCCCCTCCCACCAACTCCCACTGCCTAACCTACCATCTCTTCCTCAGGCAATCAGCTCTCTACTAGTGCCACTCACATTCGGGGTTTGTCTGTCATACAGTATCGCTGATGCACGCTCGAAGCCGACGTATCTGCGACCTCGTACCGGACAGTATACAGAACGACAGTACATGCTACAGGGTACACATCGCGTACTATGACAGCATACACAGGGAACTACCACACCACAGCATCCAGCACAGCCATGCGATTGTGATCCGACCACGGAAAGGCACAGGATCCCGACAGCAGCAAACAACCGTGCCTACGCCTACCCTCACATCAAGGTCCTACTACGGCTCCTTACGGCCCAACCACTGGGAACTAAGGAAACTACTACAATACCTAAGGTGTACAACAGTAGGCTGGAACCACTAAGGTAAACGAGGATCGGTACACAGCTCGACATACTACCAGAGGACATTTGCGACTCGAGCATCTTCGCCCTATCCAGTGCTGGCGGACACTCCGCCTACATCCAGAGCCAGCGCCAAGAGGGCGCACGACCAGAGCAGCGATGGCGGCGCAGGCGCACACTGAGAAGGTGGAGATTGCGCAGCAGCCAGCTGCAGAAGAGCATCTGCAGCCGACGATAGTGCAGAAGCCGCACGACAGAGGAGGCATGGGAGGAGTGGCGGACCAAGTGGCGGGCACGGCGGCGTACAGGCTCGAGATCGCGCACAACACGCTCCAGAGCACCGCAGTCGCGTTCAAAGTGGCGACCGAGCACTGCGAGAAGGCCCTCCACGCGCTCCACAAGCAGCGGGAGAAGGTGGTGACCACCTTAGGCCGCATGAACGCGAAGAGCCTCAATCCATATGAAGAAGCGGAGCGCAGCCAAGCGAAGCTCTACCTCAAGGAGCAGCTCCACGACATCAACTGCGCCATCAGTTCGATGAGGAGCGCCATCGGCATCACCAACGACAAGATGGGCAAGACCATGCACGGGCCGATGCCATGGGAGCTGGACTTCACGAGGCGCCAGGCCGACGAGATCGACAACATATACACGCGCTGGACGAAGGGCCCGCACGGCTACGCCTACGACGAGGCTTTCTTCGCCTGCGACATGCAGACGGAGCCGATGGTGGAGCCGCAGATGGAGATCAAGGACTACCTCCAGCCCCCTCGCAGGCCGCCGTGCACCAACCCGAGCAAGAGCATCGAGGGCTGGGAGAACCGTGGCAAGGTTCTGAGCAGTGAGGCCAGCTCGAGCACCCCAGCCGCCGCCTCTGCAGTCACTAAGGCCGACGGCTCCGCTCAGAGCAGCAGGGACGTCAGGCTCTCTTCGCCAAGGGCGGCAGCGGCAGCAGGCTGGGGCATAGGGCAGCAGCAGCAGTAGAGAGCAGACTGCACCAGGCCTGGCCTCCCTTTTTTTTTCTCTCTCCCCACTACCGCCACAGAGGGAGGGCTCGGCAGCAAGCACTCACCGCATGAGCCAGTGCGGCCATGCACTACATAAGCCGAGTGGAGTGCAGGGAGTACCAGGCCGCCTCTTCTTTTTTTTGCCTCTCCTTACCGTCTAAGGGAGTGGGGGAGCGGGGGGGGAGGAGGGGAGCGGAGGTGGGCGGGCTCTCAGCGGTGAGGGGTGCGCCCAGCGAGGCAGCCCCACACCGCCTGCAACAGTCGACAGGCCGAAACCGAGGCAGGGTCTCCCTGCTAGCGAGGCTCGGGGACCACGTCCAACAGAAGGACGGGCCCCGTCGCCTCAGGCGGCCCCCCCAAAGCTTGGGTGGGCTCGCATCCATATGTTCCCCAGGGGTCAACATGCCTTTTTTCGGGAGGCGGCGAGACCTGACCCCCAAGGGCCTTATCCTTATCCTTATCCTCCTCCTCCTCCTCCTTCTCCTTCTCCTTCTCCTTCTCCTTCTCCTTCTCCTCCTCCTCCTCCTCCTCTTCCCTTCTCCCGATCACGTCATCCTGCTAATCTGCAGAACACGTAGTGACGATTTGAACACTACAATCGGCGCGCATGCGGACGCCGTCCGAGAGGACACGAGACTCGTTCGAAAGCGAAGGTTACGCAACAGCAGAAGGGATGTGCACGGACGGGGATTGATAGGACAGAAGGGCAACCTGACTCTTGATGGATCGACCTGCTAACTCGAGCCGGCAACTGGCTGGCTCCCATCGCTCACGCACGCGCCCGTGAATCCAGACCCACCTCGGAGCCGCGCCAAAGATGGAAAAGACGAGCTTCACATAGAAATCGTGCCAAGAATATCATCCCATGGTTGGATAAGGCGGGTGCATTTTTGAGCAGGCCGGCACCACAAAGCCACGGTCTCGCGCGCGCTGGCACCTTAGCTGGATGCCAGCCGCAAGCGTGATTGCGGTGGCCGATCGCAAGCAACTTTTCCCAGCACCCCATCAGGAACCGTGCGACCGTGACCAATCTCCCACGACAGATCACAACCTCAAACAACATGCCTTCGATCTCACCGCACCATCTCTCGCGTGACTGCACTTGGCCAAGGCCCGGGCTCTCGCCGCCAGTCCATCGCCTGATCCTCTGGTCAAGCAGCCCCGCGGGTGTCCATCGCGAATGTGCGAACCAGAGCAGGAGAGCCACGTGGATGGCCATCAGCGCGGGGGCGAATCCAGCGTGCAGGAATACTTCCTGTCCAAGAGGCCCGAACCCCCCATGGAGCAAGCCGGCCCCAATGACACCATCTCTCCTAGCGTCTCAGGGTTGCTCGAACTGTCCGTCAGAGCCTCACGAATTGTAGCTTTACCTAGCGCTTTTGCTAAGTCATCATTTTGAGATTTTAACTCCTCAATTTCTGTTTTGTACTCAATTCCAAGATCAAGGTCAACGTGCCCCGATCATTCCGTTTAAAAAAATCAGCCAGCACCGTCACCACCTGGCACTGTGGAACCCGCCCGTCCGCCGGCGAGCGCCGCGACCTCTACTAACCGAAGGTGCATGGAGAGAGGGTTGAGAACGGTGGCGACAGGAATGAAGGGAGAGCCCTCCTCCTCCTCCTCCTCCTCCTCCTCCTCCTCCTCCTCCTCCTCCTCCTCCTCCTCCTCCTCCTCCTCCTCTCTCCTCCTCCTCCTCTCTCCTCCTCTCTCCTCCTCCTCCTCCTCCTCCTCCTCCTCCTCCTCCTCCTCCTCCTCGGGGAGATGGAAGTCGAATGTCAACCGCTATCTCGAGCCGCGAAACAGCGCACTGCCGCGATCGGCATCTCAGCCTAGCAGGCCCCTCTGCAGAAACGAAACCAAACGCTTGGCCACGCAAGCTGGCACCTTCCACTGTAAGTCGAGTACTTCGTTCGGATTTGAAACCGGATGCCCCGAACTCCTCATACCCTGCGTCACGAAATGGGCCCGCAGGGGATAGTTCGTACATGATCGACGCGTGTCCATCGTGACGGTCTCTGTCCCTCCCCTGCTTGCTCACCGTTCCCCGTCGCCGTCGTCCTCGGATGGTTGCCTCAAGAGTGCCGAGGCCCCGGCTTGACAGGAAAGGCCAGCTTGGAAGCGCTGGAGGCACATTGCCACGACGCGCCCCGGGAATCGGTGCCGGCCGCCGCTGCTGTCAAGGGTTGAGGCTGCAGGCTGGCGTTCTGACCAGAGTCTCGAAGTCGCTCAACTCGTGGCGACGAGGCCCCCACACACGCACCTCCGAGAGGACGACGAGCGCTCAAGTCCGCCGACCCTGCTGGCGTGCGTGAGACGCTTTTCCGTCTGAGTCGTCGTCACCGCCGTCGCCGCGCCTCCCGCTCTCCCGTGGCCCTCCTCCTCAACGATTCGGCCAAACGGAAATCCAACCCAGGGGACATCCCGGAAGAGTCCTTAAGGGGGGTCGTCATGGGGGGGGTCCCAGGGGGGAGGCTTCCCGCGATGGGGGTCCTGGGGGCCTGGGATCGTTACTCCCCCCAGGGCGACCACCCGCGGACAAGAGGGACAAAGTCCCCTTGTGGACAAGAAAAACTCAAAACCCCTCCCCCCGCCTCCCCCCTATGGACAAGAGGAGCCCCCCCCCCTCCTCCCGGACCACCCCCTCTGAAGCACCCTCCTCACTCTTACCTGCTGTTGCGGGGTGCTGAGCATTTTCCCACATGCCTCAAAGAGCCCTACGATCCACTACGCGGCGGCTCGAAATGGCCACGGAGGAGCTTCCCCGAAAGTCCCCCGAGAGGCCCTCCAACAGAGCCCAACAGGCTCCCAAGAGAGCCCCAAGAAGAACTCAAGAGCGTCCGCGTCGTCGTCGTCGCCGCCGCCACCGCCGTCGTCGTTGTCCCCCTTCAGGGTCGGCGACGACAACTGGAATTCTTCTAGTCATCTGGAACTCTCAACACCTCTCCCGGGGATCGGCGCTTCGTCCCGAGTCGCTTCCTGAATACCGCAGGGCCCAGAAGCTGACCACAGTGGCAGAAAACATCCGGGCCGATACCTGCGAGACCGCCCAAGGCACGGGCTTTCTCCCCCCTTCCTGAGGGGGAACGTTAAGGGGGGACGGGCTCATGGGGGGGGGGAGGGGAGGAACATCGGCCTGGAATCGGCGATACCTCGCCGACAGATCGGAGATGGGCCCCCGATAGCGGATCCCCACGTTCCTGGGCGGGGTGATCGATCGGGGCCCCTATCTGGGCATCGCTCGGACGTCCATTCCATGTTTTTTTGTCGGTTTCGTGCGTGTTTTTTTTTCTCGCCAAATGATCAAGGATGCTCCTCGATGGTCCTCGCCGAGGGAAAAATTCACACGCCCGAGCGATGCCAAGCTATCGGTGATGGAAGGGCGATTTGGGCCTCGAGTAACAACTCGGCTCCCCGGGGCGGCCGTTCGGCACGACGCGGACGCCTCGGCGAGGCGGAGCTGATTGAAACAACTCTGCGCCTCGAGCACGTGACAAGCTTGCCAGAATGTTCGTCTAGAAAATATGTTTTTACCGACGTCTCTCTGCGCTCGTCCAGGCACACCTGGGTGAGCCCTGCCCGACCGACAGGGTCCGCCCGCCCGCCCAAAGGACCCGCCCGCCTGCTAGTCGGTCAGTCAGCCAACCAGTCATGCGGTACGCCGCAGCGCGGGGGCGAAGGATGTTCGTCTAGAATTATGTTGTAAGTTGCCCGTGAGCCTATCCCCCCCTTGCGTTGCCGCCGATCTCCCCCCCTCCTCTCCCCCCCGCGGTCCTCCGGCACGGCGCGCCAATTCACAGACCAGGCGTGCTGCAGGTCGCCGGGCCCGCCGAAGGCGTGCCTTCGGAGGAGAGGTGGGGAATCGCCCAGCTGGTCGCAGCGCGGGGACATAGCTTGGACTCTCCGGCGATGTGGAGCACACCCTGCCGATCGCTGCTTGCGTGGCTCTGGACCTCTTCTTAGTGCGACTGTCTGCGACAGTGCGTCCTATGAGGCAGGCGCCAAAGTCGGCCAAGATCTACTCCATGGGGGTGGGGGGGAGGAAGGGTGCGAGGGCCCGCGCCGATCGGCAGAACAAGGATAAAAAAAACGATAACAAGATAACAAAGCCCACGCTAATGGCGATGTTGCTCCACGGGGATGTTGGGCACCAACCTGTAGGAAATCGCGGACCACACCTCCCCACATCTCCCATCTGCGAGTGCATCGAACGAGAACGACACGGCGAATTGCAGGAACGCACAGGCCACGCTCTCCCACAATACCGAGACCTACATCGCCGTTGCCTACACCGCCGGTAGCGTGTCGGCGGCCCCCCCTGGGCCCATGCCCCCCCTAACATTGCCGTCTGGCTTTCGAGTCACAGCTCGGCTCCCCGGCGGCCCTTCGGGTGGGGTCGGGCACCCCCGGAACGCCTCTGACGAGGCGCAGCTGATGGAAACCACCCCGCGCTTCGAAAACGTCTGCACACCTTGCAAGAATGTTCGAAGCACATGGCAAACCAAAGCTGCCCGTGAGCCTATCCCCCCCTCCGCCCCACCCACCCCTCCGCGCAGCGCGCGGAGTGAAGCAACCCAGCGCACCCTGACGAAGGGCACCTGGTTTCTTGATGCGCGCCCCCATCGGGAGTGCGCAAAGATGGATTAGCGATCCATGTATTTGGCGCGCGGTCGCCAAATCCATGGATCGGGGGAGGGTGCCCTCCCCAAAATGCGGCCGGTGCCGCCTCGCTTGGCGGCGGAAATCCGCAATTTCCCGTGGACACTGGACCCGTCGCTCATCCAGCCCCCTTGATCCATGTTTGCGATCGCCTGAAGGGGGGAGGTGAGAAGGAGAAGGCCCTGTCCGACGGCGGCGGGGCTTCTCAGGCGCCCGAGAGGTCTCCTGCGTCCTCGGGAAACAGAAAGGCTCAGAACACTTCTCGGAGGCCAGGGGACTTCCGAGCCTTCCGAGGAGGCCCGCCCCCTCTCACTTCTCCCCCAGGCTCGCTGCCGACGGTCGCTTGGACGCCCCCTGAATCCACGTTTGCGATCGCTCCCCCCCCCCCCGAACGTGGCCCCTGATCCCCCCCCCCAGAGCGCCGGAGATACGCCCCAGGGCCCACCAGCAGGAACGGAGCCGCCACGGCGGCCTGCAGGGCCAGGGCGGCGAGCACGCACGGCAGGGCGAGCGACCAGCCGCCTCGCGAGGAAAGCGGACAAAAAACGGCCCTCCTCCTCCTCCTCCCTCCTCCTCCTCCTCCTCCTCCTCCTCCTCCTCCTCCTCCTCCTCCTCCTCCTCCTCCGCCTCCTCCTCCTCCTCCTCCTCCTCCCTCTTCCTCCTCCCCTCTTCCTCCTCCATGCTCCTCCTCCTCCTCCTCCTCCTCCTCCTCCACCCCTCCTCCTCCTCCTCCTTCTCTCCTTCTCCTCCTCCTCCTTCCCCTCCTCCTCCCCTATCTCTCCTCCTCCTCATCTTTCTTATCTTTCCTCCCCTCATCCTCCCACTTCCTCCTCCATGTCTCCTCCTCCTCCTCCTCCTCCTCCACCTCCTCCTCCGCCTCCTACTCCTCTTCCTCCTCCTCCTCGTCCTCCTCCTCCCCTCATCATCCTCCTTTCTTCCTCCTCCTCCTCCTCCTCATCATCCACTTCCTCCTCCTCCTCCTCCTCCTCCTCAACCTCCTTCCTTCTCCTCCTCCTCCTCCTCCTCCTCCTCCTGCACAGCCGCTCCTCCTTCTCCTCCTCCTCCTCCTCCTCAGCCGTCTCTCCTCCTCCTCCTCCTCCTCCTCCTCCTCCTCTGCGGCAGGGCCTTCACATTCCGTCTTACCCACCAGGCATCATTGTCACATGACTGTGGTGCAAGTGTCGCACGGAAGGTAAATCCGTGACGCACATCGGTATAGAGCTCCGGATTCCACACACACACATACACATACACACAGCACATGTAATCTCTATAGGTCGAGAAAGTTGCAGCACCCCAGCCACAAGAAGCACGGCTAAGGTAAGATCATGGAGCCGCTCGTGCCTTTGGCTGACCTTTTTCCCTCGATGCTTACAGAATTGCTGGCTTTTACAATGCAGGGGGGCGCGATGTTTTGCACTGCGCCGAAGCTGGCAGCCAGTTTGCGCCAGCCGCAGCTGCCCGAGGCAGCGGACTCCGAACCCAATCGTTACTACTTCCCTTCTGATGGGTGTGCGTCCTCCGGTGGCAGCTGGAGCCGCAGGCCTAGGCAGGTTGCCCAAGCTAGGCGCCCTTGTTTTATCCACGTGGTAGCCCCAGCCGAAAACCAACTAAAGAGGGGCTCTTCAACAAGGCACCCTCCGAGGGCTACTGATGCGAGCTGCGCGCTGCCTTAGTAGCAAAAAGCATCGCATCCCGACTGCCTCACTGTCTCGGGGAGGACCTCTGCGTCGGGGAGGTCGGTCGTGAGCGGAGTTGGAAGGCGTCGCAGTCCTAGAGCGGCCCTTCGCTGGGAAACTGCACGGGTATTCGCGCGGCAAATACTCGGGCTTCACAATCGGATGGCGGCCTTTCGGGCCTGTTGAACCGATAATTGTGCTAAACAGTCGCGGGGCGAACTGGGGCCTTGGGCGGGGTGTCTTTGCTTACGCATTGGTCAAGAGGGCATCGAGGGAGGGGAACGGCTTGCTAGAGGCCAGTTGCAAGAGAATGCCCAGCCCTCAGGGGCTGAGGCAAATCTTGGAAAACAGAATTGGGCCACGAAGTCACCGCGCATTTCGGCCCACTACGTACTAACTCTTGACAGCCTGATTGCGCTGATGAAGCTCCAGCACCCTCGGAAGTGTAGCAAACACACAATGCAAACGCAAACAATGAGGCCTGCAGATGTTGGGCAAAATCTGCAGATTTCTTTAGGGCCCGTTGTCTGCAGAACAAGCGGTAGTTCGTGGGTGCGGAGCATATCTCGTGCTGCGTGCCGGCGTCCAGGGCGTCAGGGCCCGTTGGGGCTACAATGCCAGCTTTGAATCTGACACCCTTGCATTGGATGTCCGATAGGTTTTCGTAGTGTATCTTCGTATGTGTCTTCTCTTTTTGTTCGGACCAGGTTGGGCATCGTTGTGTTCGCTTTTGACCTGTGTGGTTCGTCTTCTCCAATATCTCGCCATGGTCGCCACGCACAGCGGCCACGGGGTTGCACGCCGAAGAACAGCGCAGACGGGTCGATCGAACGGCACGGATTCCGCGTTGCACAGGTGGCGCGAGCGAGTCGATCGAACAGCGCAGCGTTCTCCGGAGCCCCTGCTGGGGCAATGTTCGAGGTCCTCATTGGTGGACAAATCGGGCATACGAGGCCTCAAGTAAGCGAGCATGCTCCTGGCTACACACACACACACGGGCGCCCCGCACTTGCGAGACGCTTCCTGGCGAACTGAAGAAAACGATGTAGAATGGCAATCGTTGTGGTCATGTCTCCCAGTTTGATGGGCATCTCTGCAGCTTGATGGAAGAGCGGCACGCGCGACGCCCCATCACGTCATGCAACTATTGAGGGGGGGGCCAGTTAGGACACGAACGCGGAAAGATTCGACCCGTGTCCTAAAAGACAGTCTTGACGATCCTCCTCTTCCTCCTCCTCCTCCTTCTCCTCCTCCTCCTCCTCCTCCATCTCTCCTCCTTCTCCCTCTCTTTTCTCCCTCTCCTCCTACAACTCCTCTCCCTCCTGCTCTTCCTCCTCCGCGGCCTCGGCCTCCTCCTCCCTCTCATCCTCTTCCCCTCCTCCCCTTCCTGCTCCTCCTGCTGCTCTCCCGAATCGATTATTATCTTCCTGCTGCTGCTCCTCCTCCTCATCACCATCAGCATAGTCATCGCCATCCAAATCCCCATCACCAGCATCATCACCCTGCTCCTCCTCCTCCTCGTCACCATCATCAACAACAGCATCAGCATCACCATCATCACCATCATCATCATCATCATCACCACCATCATCACCATCAGCAGCATCATCATCATAATCATCATCACCACCAATCATCATCATCATCATCATCATCATCATCATCATCATCATCATCATCATCATCATCATCATCATCATCATCAGTATTATCATCATCACCACCATCATCATCATCAGCATCATCATTATCATCATCACCATCAGCATCGTCGTCATCAGCATCGTCAACATCATCATTAACAGCATCCTCAGCCTCATCATCACCAAAATTGTCAACATTATCCGCATCAGCATCAGCATCAGCATCATCATCAGCATCATCAGCAGCAGCATATCTACATCCTCACCCTCATCCTCATCACGAGTCTCTCCTCATCCTCCTCCCGCTCGTCCTCCTCCACGTCCTCCTTCTCCCCCTTTCGCGGCACACGCCATGATCAGATGTTCGCAGCGTCTAGTGCTCCTCCTCCTCCTCCTCTTCTCCCCTCCTGCCCCTCACCCTCCAGCACACGCACACACACACAGGGGTGGAGACATTCACGGCAGACCGGCCTTGACCACAGGGCTGTAGCGCCTCCGTCTCTCTTCATCCTGGCCTCGCCAGGGGGAGGAGGAGGAGGAGGAGGAGGAGGAGGAGGAGGAGGAGGAGGAGGAGGAGGAGGAGGAGGAGGAGGAGGAGGAGGTTGAAGAGGAGGAGGAGGAGGAGGAGGAGGAGGAGGACGTTGAGGACGAGGAGTAGGAGCAGCAGCAGCAGCAGAGAGGAAGGAGTACCAGTGCGAACCCAATAATCATCAACAATGTTGGAATAAGCCCTACCTCTAAACTCCCTCTTCATAGGCCCATGCAAGGATTCACGTCCACTGAGGGAAGTGCCCCGTTGGTGGACAACCGTTGGAATATCCTGAAGCGTGCTAAAACACCCTCCTCGGAACTTCAACGCCACCAATCCACTTCCGTACACATTGAAAACAACCGTGCGCGGCGCTAATGCGAGTGCGACACTTTGAAGAGGAATCACCCTCAATCAGTGGAACTCGTGTAGTTGTTTAGAACGAGTTTGCGCGGCGCTGAGGCGAGAGAACCACAATTTGAAACGCGCCCGGGGAAGATGAGGACGAGGAAGAGGAGGAAGAGGAGGAGGAGCAGGAGGAGGAGGAGGAGGAGGAGGAGGGGGAGGAGGGGGAGGAGGGGGAGGAGGGAGAGGAGGAGGAGGAGGAGGAGGAGGGGAGGAGGAGGAGGAGGAGGAGGAAGAGGAGGGGCAAATTCTTGCATGACGTGCGCGGTCGCCGAGGCGAGAGAGCCACGTGTTCAAAAAACGGGGGGCCCTCCACACACGTGGACAGGACGTCTCGTGCGAAACGCCCCGGCCGCCTTGTCGACCAGCCTCGGGGCGCGACAGGGAGGAATTACTTATATAAGGACAGGGAATGGAGGAGGGACAAAGAGAACTGCGCCTCTCCTTCCTCGTCGTCAGGACGAGGAAACAGCAAGGAGGTGGGAGCGAGGTTTGGGCCTGCGAGACTTTCGAGGTCTTCATCCGCCTGGATCCGGGTTCTTGGTGGCTTCAAAGTCTTCAGACGTAGCCTCCCTCATCTTCCTGCTCCTTCTCCTCGCCGCTGAGAGGAGGAAGACGACTAGGAAGAGGAAGAAAAAGAGTTGCTTTGTTCCTCCAACTGTCCTCGCCGGAAGAAGGAAGGAGGAATGAGAGGAGGAACGAGGATCCGCCCTTCGAGACGTTTGCATATTTCGCACCCGTTTTGGGGACTCCTGGGGATGGAGGGGGCATCGCCGCGCGGTCGACGGGGACGGACCACAAGTCTCCCTGAAACTTGAGGCCAAAAGAACGGCGGCTGGGATCTGGCTGGTGGTCCTTTCGCCTCGATGCCTCGATATTGGGGGCATGAGTGTCTACCCAGACGCCGCACTCCCCTCCCCAGCGGCCAACGCCGCCAGAGAGGGAGGAAGTTGAAACTCCATTACTGAGTATAGGAAAACCACAGCCGAAGGAGAGGAAACGAGGGGGTGAGCCTGATGAAATCACAGTTTGGCAGGGACCGACCGGCCTGGCATTCCCAGAAGCCTCCCACGAAATACTCTTCGAGCGAGCATCTGTTCTAAGAACAAAAACAAGGTTCTTAGAACGTGAACCCGATGCACGGTGGGGGCATTGGATAAGGAACCCTTTGATAAGGAATCCAGGGTCTGGAGAACGGTGGAACTCCAGTAGAAGCGTGGTCATGGAGATCCCCGCCGCCCTCGTCAGATAAGGGATCCTCCAGGGTCTGCAGCCTCCTGGGCGCATTCCTTAACCAACGCCCCCACCGTATTGTTAAGTCGGGGCTGTCCCCCTACAGGGGAATTTTTGACGAAAAAGAAAAAATACCCCCAACATGATAACAAATGTCCAAAAATGGTCTGGGGACTCTGTTTTAAGTATTTGTTGGCCTTCTTGGGGCATTTTTGGGGTATTTTTTTTTCCCGTCGAAAGTTCCCCTGTAGGGGGACACGCCCGACATAACCGTATTGACACGAGACAGCCTCAGCCGGAAAGGCTCTTGAGAACCTCTCGCGCAGACCACAGGGAGGCCTCCGAGTGTCTCCGCCCCCGCCTTCCCTCCTGGGGGCAGGGGCCCCGCCGCCTGCCAGCACGAGGGACAGCCCCACGGCGGGGCAGAAGAGCAGGGGCTGCATCTTGACGCTGACGGCGGCCGAGTAGGCCAGCAGCGAGAGGCACCGCCTCGCCATCGCTCGGACGTCCATTCCCTGTGTTTTTGCTCGGTTTCGTGCGTGGTTTCTTTCGCCAAATGGTCAAGGATGCTCCTCGATGGTCCTCGCCGAAGGAAAAATGCACACGTCCGAGCGATGCCAAGCCGCCTGCGGTGCAGGAAGAGCAGCAGCGCGGCATAGGCGAGAAACTGGGCCGCGGCGTCGTTGAAGCACCGCAGGACGAATCCGCCGGGCCCTCGGGGGCGCCAGGCTGTGAAGCTCCCTGCTTGTGCAGCTCCCTGCTTGGCTGCTGCTCTGTTTGCGTGTCTTGTCGCCGCTCTCTTGTCCCATGTTCCTGCCTCCTGCCTCTGCAACCATGTCTAATCTTACGGGTGTATTCTTCAGGGGGCTCCGCGGCGTCAGAGAAGACCACATGTGGAGAGTGTCCATCAGCCCACTGGCCGCTTATCTATGCAAGTTGCGTGTCTTCCCCCTGAATTTTCGAAAGGTGGCTTCTCGACGGCCACACAGCGTTCCGAACATAGCTCCCAGATCGCCAAAGTTTGCCCCAAGGTGGCCCCTCGGGGCCCCAAGACGCCACCCACATCGCCCCAAATTGACCCAGATCGTGCCCACGATGATACCAAGAGCCCCTCAAAATAGACCCACCGAGGCCCCCAAATATCCACAAAATTGCCAGAGATAGCCTAAAGGTTGCCCCCCGAGACTTCAAAATGCCACCCAGATGCCCCGAAGACAAGGCAGCAACCCACAACCGCCATAATTCTCTCCGCCGCAACCGTGGCTGCTTCGCCATAATCCTGGTTGCCTCCCACCGCATCATCCTTTCACCGCCAGCATTACGTCAATATCGCCTTAACAATGCGCATCCACTACAAACGCGAGTGCGAGCCCAGCCTGTACAGGGCCCAGCGAGCCCCAAAAGCAGCTTTTCTGGCCTCGGCGCGCCACCGCGACGAATGAGTTCCCCGAGCTGGATCGAAGGAACGGCCCAAAAAACAGAGCCCCACCCTGAGCCTGAAGTGATGCTTGCTTCAGCGTGTTGACTGTACTTTGGCATGGACGTGGAGCCGCGAAGCGCTGTGGGATATCGAGTGGACCCTCTTCGACAGCACGCACAGAATCAACAGCCAGCCCGGAGCCCCTGCCTGTCTATAGATCTGGAAGACGACCGCCAGGGTTGCCATGTAGAGGCCCGCGAAAACGACCTGCGCCTGCGCTACTGCTGCGCCCGACAGCCGCAGCAGCCCATAGAGCCAACAGAAGCCCGCCGGATAAGCGATGGGCCCGGTCGGCCCCCTCAGCTGGGCATAATCGAACTGACCATGCAGCACAGCGTCCACCTGCACCATGTACGTTTCCCAATCGACGTCCGTGAATGGAACCCGCCTGATAATGAGTATGGTCAAGAAGGCATCGCAGGCCCACAAACCAATCGCCCACCAGAGAGCATAGCGAGCAGAGCCAATCTCGCGCAGAAAATCCCACATGGTTTCTGGTGCCTGCTTGAACAAAAAGATGCTTCGAGGCACTCAAGCACTGGCCTGCTGGCAGAAAGCACACGTGTACACATGCGCACACTTCCTCATACAATGCGATACAGCAACGTCAAGCAGTGTGTTCAAAACATGGAAGCGGGACAACCTTAAACTACGAGTCCGTGGCCCTCGCCATCGCACAGCAGCGTTCGCACTGAGGCAGCGCGAGGCCCAGATCTCGCGGTTTGTCAGTCACACCTGTCTCTTGGCAGTGCGCTCGCCACCCCCTCCCCCCCTCACTTCCAAATGTGACCGAATTGCGCCTGGTGTAGGTTTTCACTCTGATGCCGCACCCTGCGCACGACGATGCCACTAGCAATCAATGCTGCACGGGCCAAGCAGGAGGACGCCACTGTGCACCCATGCCAGCCCTGACCAGGCCCATGATGGGCCATGGTCCAGGATGATCCTGGACCCAGGATCTCGCCATCGCTCGGACGTCCACTCCCTGTGTTTTTTTCGGTTTCGTGCGTGTTTTTTTCGCCAAGTGGTCAAGGATGCTCCTCGATGGTCCTCGCCGAAGGAAAAATGCACCCGTCCGAGCGATGCCAAGAGGATCGGCGTACCCGATCAGGAACGTTTGCTCAGCGTGCCGCAGCGGCGGCCCTGGCAACACGCCATGCCCCGTGAGCGGATAGGAGTGTCGCGCCGCTCCGCGCGGCGGGAGGCCTGGAAAGGCTCGGGACGCTGACGCCTGGGAACTGGGAAGTGGCTAGCGTGTCGCCCCGGAGCGTGGTGGGCCAGAACCGGCGGCGCAACACGCCAAGCAAACGTGCCAGAAGGAACGTTAAAGGAGGAACGAAGTTCCGTTTTGGCCCAGAAGCGCCGTCGTGCACGAGGAACGCTAGAGGAACAGCCACAGACGGACCTGAGGAACAGCGAGCCCCTTCCGCGTCCAAAGCGGTCCTTGTTTCGGCGTCTTGGCTGTACGCCCTCATGGACACAGGAGCGGACTGGCCAGGATCAGTGCACGTGCACGTGCAGGGTGTAGCTGTCACCCTCCAGCCGAAGGGCCACGAGCTGCACGGTTTCCCCCGGGGCCGTAGGCGACCCGAGGAGGAGGAGGAGGAGGAGGAGAGAGGAGGAGGAGGTGGAGGAGGTGGAGGGAGGGGGAGGAGGGAGGAGGAGGAGAGGAGGAGGAGGGAGAGGAGGAGGAGGAGGAGGAGGAGGAGGAGGAGGAGGAGGAGGAAGAGAGAGGAGGAGGAGGGAGGAGGGTGGAGGAGGTGGAGGAAGGTGGAGGAGGAGAGAGAGGAGGAGGGGGAGAGGAGGAGGAGAGAGGAGGAGAGGAGAGGAGGAGGAGGAGGAGGAGGAGGAGGAGGGGGAGGTGGAGGAGGTGGAGGAGGGGGAAGAGGATGAGGAGGAGGAGGACGGGTCGCCTAAGCCCTTCGGAGAAACCCTCCACCACGAGCCGCCGCTCCCGCCCTCGCGCTGCACGACGAGGCGAAGGGCAGCGAGCCGCTCGGGCGCCACCGCGCTCGCGCGAGCCAAGAAAGGGGGACCGCGAGACCGCCGCGGCCAACGGGCCGCCGCATCCACTCCTAGAGTTAGGTCGCGCGTGTCCCCCTGCAGGCGGATTTTCGAAGGAAAACAACATATACCCCAAAATATTCAAACATATTCAGAAATAGTCAAAAAATCGTCCCCGGACTGTTCTTCCTGGACTACGTTTGACTACTCCTCCTGCAGAGGGACAGGCCCGACCTAATCCTGGAGCCCAAGCCCAGCGCACGACAGAAACGAGGACCAGGAGGGGGTGGTCAGGAGGGAAAGAAACACACAGACACAATTAATCGGCGACTCCCCAGGAATATGGGAAAATATAGGAAAAGGGGGGGGGGAAGACAAGAACCCAGAAAATATTGGAAAAGATGGGGGATCCTTTTATTTGTGTGTATTTATTTGTGTGTCCCAGGGCCCCTTCAGATGGGGCGTCCCAAGACGGCGCGGTGCCAGGCCGTGCGGCGACGTCGGGGCCCCGATCGGCCGCACCGCACTGCCCGCCGCCGCGCCGTCTCGGGACCCTGGGGGCCCCAGTTTGAAGGGGCCCCAGTTGGCGGGATGCAAATGGGGGGGCAAGTCCAGATGCGGAGAGAGGCGCAACCGAGGTACAAATTGCACCTACGCCCCACGGAGAAGGTACAATTTGCACCGACGCCACGCAGACACGGTACACATTGTACTTTTGACAACGTCCGCGACATGTGCGAGGATGTTAACAGGGGGGGAGAAGGTACAATTTGCACTTGCAACCCGCAGAGAAGGTACACATTATACCCCATCAAAACGGTACCGGATACTCATCCCCCCATGTCCTGATCCCCCCATCGCCATCCGGCCGACCCAGGACACACACATAAATACACACTAATAAAATTATTCCCCATATTGTCCCATATTTTTGAATTTTTGTCTTCCCCCCCACTTCCCATATTTTCCCGTATTTTCCTGGGAGTGGACGATTAATTGTGTCTGTGTGTTTTTTCCCCTCCTGACAGTTGTCCGAGACGTCGAACACGAGCCGAGCTCGAGCCGAGCTGAAGCCGAACTGCAAGCGAACTACAGGCTCGAACGGATCCGCCAGGTGGGCCCCGGGAAGGCCCGGCCCTCGAAGCGAGCACCCAACGAGCGGTCGAATCGACCCCAGGGCCCATCCGAC